GTGTCCCCGGTGCCCAAAGCGTCCTGCCCCCGGGCGTCCCCATGTGTCCCTGGTCCCCAAGGTGTCCCACTCCTGCGCGTCCCTGGTCCCCAGTGCCCTGGTCCCCAGTGTATCCCACTCCCCGGTGTCCCCATGTGTCCCTGTTCCCGGTGGATCCCACTCCTGGGTGTTCCCGTGTGTCCCTGGTCCCCAGTGTATCCCACTCCCCGGTGTCCCCATGTGTCCCTGTTCCCGGTGGATCCCACTCCTGGGTGTTCCCGTGTGTCCCTGGTCCCCAGTGTATCCCACTCCCCGGTGTCCCCATGTGTCCCTGTTCCCGGTGGATCCCACTCCTGGGTGTTCCCGTGTGTCCCTGGTCCCCAGTGTATCCCACTCCCCGGTGTCCCCATGTGTCCCTGTTCCCGGTGGATCCCACTCCTGGGTGTTCCCGTGTGTCCCTGGTCCCCAGTGTATCCCACTCCCCGGTGTCCCCATGTGTCCCTGTTCCCGGTGGATCCCACTCCTGGGTGTCCCCGTGTGTCCCTGGTCCCCAGTGTATCCCACTCCCCGGTGTCCCCATGTGTCCCTGTTCCCGGTGGATCCCGCTCCCGGGTGTCCCCGGTCCCCAATGTGTCCTGCTCCCAGGTGTCCCTGTGTGGCCCTGGTCCCCGTGTGGCCCTGGTCCCTGGGTGTCCCTGCTCCACAGTGTATCCTGCTCCTGGGCGTCCCTGGTTTCCAGAGCGTCCTGCTCCCGGGTGTCCCCATGTGTCCCTGTTCCCAGTGGATCCCGCTCCCTGGTGTCCCCAGGTGTCCCTGGTCCTCAAAGCATCCTGCTCCTGGGTGTCCCCAGGTGTCCCTGGTCCCCAGCACATCCTATTCCCTTGGTGTCCCCAGTCCCCAAAGCAGCCTGGTCCCTGAGCGTCCCCAGGTGTCCCCAGTCTCCAAAGCGTCCTGCTCCAGGGTGTCCCTGTGTGTCCCTTGTCCTTTGGTGTCCCTGGTCCCCAAAGCGTCCTGCTCCCGGGTGTCCCCTTGTGTCCCTGGTCCCCGGGTGTCCCTGATCCCCAAAGCGTTCTGTTCCTGGATGTCCCCATGTGTCCCTGGTCCCCAGGTGTCCCCAGTCCCCAAAGCGTCCTGCTCCGGGGTGTCCCTTGGTGTCTCTGGGTGTCCCAAAGCAGCCTGGTCCCTGGGTGTCCCCGACCATCCCCGGACGTCCCCAGGGCTCCTGTGTCCCCAGTCTCCACATGTCCCCATGTGTCCCCAATGTGTCCCCACTCCCTCAGTTCTTGTGTGTCCCTGTGTGTCCCTGGTCCCCAGAGCATCCCTGGACACCCTGGGGACGTTGGGGTGTCCTCGGCCCCGGGGTCTCCTAGGTCACGGGTGTCCCCAGGGATCCTGCTCCTTGGGTGGCTCCAGTCCTCGTGTGTCCCCAGAGCTCTCTGCTCTCCAGTCTCCACGTGTCCCCGCATGTCCTTGGTCCCCAATCCCTGCATGTCCCCATGTGTCCCTGATCCCCCATTCCTGAATCCCCCGAGATGTCCCTGGTCCCCAGTGTCTCCATGGATCACTGGACTCCAGCGATGTCCCCATGTGTCCCTGATCCCCCAGTCTTATGTGCCCCGATGTCCCTGGTCCCCAGTATCTCCATGGATCGCTGGACTCCAGTCCCTTGGTGTCCCCAAACGTCCTGCTCTCTGGTCTCCAAATGTCCCCATGTGTCCCTAATCCCTCATTCCTGCATCCCCCCAGATGTCCCTGGTCCCCAGTGTCTCCATGGATCACTGGACTCCAGCGATGTCCCCATGTGTCCCTGATCCCCCAGTCTTATGTCCCCCCGATGTCCCTGGTCCCCAGTGTCTCCATGGATCGCTGGACTCCAGTCCCTTGGTGTCCCCAAACGTCCTGCTCGCCAGTCCCCAATGTCCCCATGTGTCCCTGATCCCCCAGTCTTATGTCTCCCGAGATGTCCCTGGTCCCCAGTATCTCCATGCATCACTGGACACCGTTCCCTTGGTGTCCCCAAACATCCTGCTCACCAGTCTCCAATGTCCCCATGTGTCCTTGATCCCCCATTCCTGAATCCCCCTGATGTCCCCGGTCCCCAGTGTCTCCATGCACCGCTGCACCCCAGCAATGTCCCCGGTGTCCCCGGCCGCCCCGCGCGGCGGCGGCACCTGCTTGTTCATGAAGCAGTAGATGATGGGGTTGTAGACGCAGGAGCTCTTGGAGAAGAAGGCGGGGATGGTGACGAGGCGCAGGTCGAGGCCGTGCGCGCGGTTGTTCACCATGTACATGGCGAGCGCCGCGTAGGGCACGTAGCACACGCAGAAGGAGCCCACCATGACCACCACCATGCGCGACACCTCCCGCTCCGCCTTCTGCGTCGTG